GGTTAACCCCCCCCCCCCAACTTTTTTAGAATCAACATATTCAGAGAATCAGGCTGGCCATTCGGAAAATTACGGCAATAATATTAGTAGAACAAAATTTTAGTTGTTAAACAGAAAATATTATAAAATTGTATTGTCAGTATAAACTGATTTATGAAATTATGGTATTTACATGATAACATTTAACAAATCATAAATGTTTTTCAGTTTATTACTTCTCAGGGCCATAGAACTGGGGGGGGGGGGCGACTGCAGCCCTCCCAATAATTTGATAATCATTCTTTTTTCAAAATCATAAAAACCTTTATCATTTAAATACTGAAAATTGATTAATTTTAAGCGGCTACATTATCCATGACAAACTGAAAAAATCATATTCCCCATACTTCCTTGCAACTTCTCCAATATACAGTATAGTTAATTAGATACGTCTTCAGCCATTTGGTACTACTAAATAATTTGTAAGCAAATTGCAAATTTCGACATACTAAAACGCTTTTTTCTGACCATCAGAATTCTGTCAAAACTTTCCCAAAGTCCAGGAAATGGCATTTCAGAGACTCTAAATTTAAAACTTTCCTCGGGCCTCCAGCCCTCGTTTTCAGCCCACCCCAATCAAAGAGAACTTCCTACGGCACTGCTTCTGTAATATGTCTGTACGTCTATGTCTTGCGCATATGTCTTGGCCTACACCCTCCCCCCCCCCAACTATACATGCTAGCTACGGCCCTGGATACACCCAAGAGAAAAGCAGAATTTAGAACACCACCTCGGCCACAAAGAAATGCTCTGGACCCAACTGTTAACAATTCAACTCCATCTTGTTCTACACCTGCTAACTTAAGTATATTATGAACTTAAGTGATACATGCACACAAAACAATTGATTTACAGCACCATTTCCCCCTTCAGTGTCAGATAACTGTAAAGATAATCTCATTCCAACCACCCCTGTACAGTGTGTTAATAACTCTCCATTGCATGAAGAGGAGCTACTATACAATTACTTTTTTTTTCAGTGTTTGGATGGCCTGATCCAAACACAGGTTTCGACCAATCAGAGCACACATTATATATTTCAGGGCCGTAGGTTCAATTCCTACCAGAGGACCTTGTGCTGCATTTTTCGCAGTCGTTCCTGGTTAGGTCTTAAAATGTATATATTCTCACTGGGATTACAAACCCTAACATTCTGATATTTTATAATACTCTATTCTATGATAACCCTTGTGTTTCCAGTGGCACCCTTCACCAAAAATTATGCACCTGGTAAATATGATGCAATAATTGACATAATTTACCAAATTATTGGTGTGAAATACAGTAGTCACAGTATTCAAAACTATTTTCATCGAATTTACACAAACAAATTGAAGGGTTCTGGAAAAACAGAAGGTACAAGATGGGTCTTCTACCAGAATAATAGGATATGTTTCCCAGAACAATCCAATCACCTACTCACTCCAGTCTTACAAGGGGAACAACTTGATGAGACAACAATGAATTCATTGCTACAGAAGTTTCACTGCATGCAACAGGGCCTCTAGATATTAAACAAAGCAGAATGCTGCCTAAACAAAGAATATGACATATTAAACTATGTTAACCAAATGTCTGAAAAGGCCATTATGCTCAAATTAAATAGTAAGTGGTCCAAGCAGTTTAACAGTCATAAAAACACCCTTCATTTCACCACAACAGAGGTCTCAAAACTATGGGCATCTCCTGCACACTTTGTCATTTCTCAGAGTGGCAAACTTTTTCTCCAACCTAATAGCCCGTACGCTGTCGCTTTTAAACTTCTTCACCTAACCATTGCACTGATTAAAAGCCTCAACAAATACAGACACAAAGCAATCCAAGGTGGCAAAATTTTTTTTCCGCGCGTGTTTTGCAATATATTTGTAAATTTGTTGTGGCTATTTCATCTTCGGATTTTATCGTGCTAGAAGAAATCCTCTCGAGAACTGCGATCACTTCATTGATAGTGAAAGCATCAGTCGACTGTCGAATAACAGGGGATGTTTTATCATCCTTTTCGGCATCGGTGTCGTCTAAACTAAGAATTAAATCAAAATCTTCTTCCATTTCAGCTTGAGCTTCCGCCATTTTTACTCGCATGTGTTCGAATATTTGGGGGGTCCCTTGCATCACAGACATATCAGGGCTCCTATGCTCGTTTCGCCGCCCTATCTTATAAACGCCCTGAATTCACACAGCACTGGGTGCGCAAATTTTAGTACTGCGCGAAATATAATCCACGTGAAAAGCTTTGTGGTAGCTGTTGGTTTCGAAACGGAAGGTCAAAATGTTTTCGAAAAGGTTCGATGGGAAACAAACGAGTTGTTATTTTCCGCTGTTAGCAAAAGTTCCCATCAAAATGCGTAAGTATGGTCAGCAAATTCGTAATGCGGTTGCCTAGCCATGCTATGTCTGTTGCGAAAAACATAGGTTTGTAGATTACGCAGTAAATTCCGGTTTGTCTTTGCAGAAAAACAGTCAACCCATCTTGTAAACTTCATTTCTGCAATAAGTCTTTAACACGGATGCTTGTGAGTAAACAATAGTTGTTTTGGACCCGGTATTGGCCAAGTTCTATCCACGTTAAGAAGACCGTCTACCTTTATTCTATCTTGGCTTGAAAGAAGCTACACATATATCTACGCTATTAAAAGTTAAAGTTTGGTACGTTAGCAAACCAACGTAACTACATAGATAATATATATTTTTTTATATTAATATTTGCGCGAAATGTTTCACATAAAAGTTACTTTAGAATAATTTGCGCCATTTCATGCATGATTCAGTTCTGTTTGTTTTGTATTTGTTCATTTGCGCATGTATTTTTGTAGGCTTAAGATCCGCGCTAAGTCAAGGCAGCATTTCCATTTCCAGCACTGCTAAATTCGGGTTTAGTGCATGCTAATCGTATAAGTAAATATTTGCATGTATATTATTTGGTATATTAATTAGTATTAGTTTCTTGTTATATTTATCGTAGTTTCTATACGGTTTACTATAGTTAGTTTGTTTCACTCATTGTATTTTTAGGTCATAACTACCAGCATTGTCTAACATTCCATTCCAAGGGGCGGTAAAAACGGCCTGTAGTTTCTCGGTCGGTTCAGAAAGATCGTAGTTTTGGCACCTGTTTGCCAGAAGGTTGGATGTACCATCCATGCCAACCAGTGAGGAGATGGATTTAAACCATTTACTAGAGTTTGATTTACGGTGGTCTTTGGCTTTACTTTCATAGTAGACTATTTTCGCTTTAGATATCAGACTAGAGACTTTATGGCGTAAGCGTGTATAGTTTATACTATCGCCACAACTAAAAGCTCGCTGTCTAGCTTTGATTTCCATTTTAATGTGGTTTGTCGTCCACGGTTTGTCTGAGTTGTGGACTCTGATGGTTTTGACAGGCACCTTCGTGTCCAGCATGTGAATCACAGTTTCATTGAACAGCTTGACCTTTTCGTCTACATCTTCAGCACCGAATATACGCTCTCATGTTTGCTGCGCCACTTTCAGACTTAGACCGGCTCGATTTCCAGGTTTCATTAATCTGACTCTCTTTGTCGTAGGAGGGATTTTCAAATTATTTTTTGGTTTAAGGAGAATACACTGGTGGTCTGATCTACCAATAGGGGCTAGGTGGCTGGCTGAATCAAACAGATTAAACATGTTTGTAGCAATTTGGTCCAGGGTATTTTTCCCTCGAGTGGGCGCTGATACAGTTTTACGTAACCCAAAACGGCTGCATACACGACTGATGTTCAACATGTTACGAGGCTTTATTTAGGTAGCGTAGTAAAATCTTCAAACTATAGCTATATGAACCTTACTTTACCTACTAAACTAAATTTACTTACAATTTTATCGAACTAAGATTTTGATGATGTAATATTTTAATTGCATGACCGAGTGCTATCCAGCTTGGGATGACTCATCCTTGCGCCTAGAGCCTGTCCATGTGAAAGGTAAATGTTCATGATACCTCAGGCAGCTGTTCTCTTTAAACAAATCTGCCCACAAGATAAACTATAGGAAACAGGTCAATCACAACATGACATCTTCACATACACAACTGCAGCTAGTTTAACAAACTGTCATGGCCTGATGGAAGAAGTACTGAATGTTTTCCGAAGAACCGAAATATTTACTTTACTTTGATTTGTGGCAAAATAGCCATTATCTCTTCTCATTATGCTTAGGATAATATTTGCTTGCACGAACATTTCACCGGCTCTCAAGCAAACATTTTGTGTTATTTTATTTTTACCTAAAATTTTATGTATAAATGATAATGTTTTGTAACAAACATATTGAAATCTCCTGCAACGATAATTTCTGAATATATCCATTTGATAAGTATAATATCCAGTCCATTAGAAAGATACTCTATCATTTCATAGTCATTTTCATGCCGTTGGCCAGGTGGGTAGTATACAATAATGACAATAATGGTGCTAAAGGGTGTTGGGGTGAGAGGTGGTTTTTAAAACCAGCCATAGAACTTCTGTACCAGTTTCCTTTAAATGAGTTATGCGTTCCACACGGATGTACGAGCTAACATATATACGCTAGGATACCGCCGCCTTGGGTGTCTATCAAGTTGGAATATTTCATAACTATTCCCAATTTTAATTGCCGAGTCTGGTGTATTTTTTGATAGCCATGTTTCAGTGACCATCATTACAGAGGGGTTGTTGACTGAGACAATACCAGACAGCTCATCAATTTTAATGCTTATATGGCAAACATAAGGAAGAAAGTTGGGCAAACAGAAGATGGATTTGCTGGGGACTCAACAGTTTTGACTTTTATACAGTTATATGGTATACTTTTATAAGCATGCTGCGTTTGTCCAGGAAATTTTCGTTGTAAGGTATTATGCCACATAGTTATTCGAACTGGGATGTTGTATGTCACATCCTTTATATTAGAGGGGGTGTAAGTTCGGGTTGGTATCGTGTTCACCATCGTAAACGAGGTGGGTATGTTGGAGTATTCATCAGAGGTTGTATCCAAAGGTGGGTAGGCCATGGTATCATAGGAAAATTTAGGGGAACCTGCGTGTTGTTGCACCTC